CTGCTCGTTTAAAAAGAAGTTGGTAGGCAGTCGTTATGACTGTGGTCTTGGATTTTCTAGTAAGCTGTAAAATATGATAAGCACTTCTAGATGAAAATTTTTATTTGTTATCTGGGTTATTTTCACCAGTAAATGTTCTCATTGACTTTTAGGAAGTGTCTCATCCTTACTAGTTCGGCATGAATACTACAGGGCAAAGTTCGATCTCATCCTCTGTTAAAACGTCTCCTATGAGATAGATGATTTTGAATCTTCTGCATGGGTGGGCAAACGTGACTTTAAAAATAAGTAAAGATTGAATTCCAGTAAACGTTTACTCTGATTGCAAATCATAAGAAGTAAATCTCAGGGCTGAATTTAAATAAATATGACGTGCTCAGGCTAAATCCAGCATGTGAAATTTCAAAAGCATTCCTGGAAATTTGTATGTACTCTCCTATAGTGTAATCGCAGAACTCGTATCAGCCAATCATATCGTTGCAAAGATTAAATTTGCCCTCGCTTATGCCATTTACAGTCTTCTTGACCTTACACTTACATAAACGCTTATAATTAAACATCTATCATTGTATCGCAGCGCACTTTTTCCTGCTTTAAATAGTAAGTCACAAACCATCTATAATTCAACAGAGCTATATCAAAAGGCCACGCACACTCATTCGACGAAGCATGCTTTCAGAAAAATTGCATGCTGTTCAAAAGTCTCTGCTTATTTTATGCCTGTGCAATGAATTTTTGAAAAAGCGCACCGCCGTCGCAAGAGAAATAGGAAGATTTTATTCAAATAACCTTCGTAGTAATCTTATCTATACATTTTTGAATTCACCGGTATAACTGTGACCAAAATACCGTAAAGAACGATGTGAGGAGTGAGGTGATGGCTGTTCGACTAAAACAAGGGCAAAAACGTGTATGATAGGTCTACCCATTTGAAGGAGAATGAACCGATATATGAAAAGAAGAGGGGGCGTTCACCGGGAGGGGTTTATTTGAGATCCGAGGTTTCGGGTAGTTTATCCGTCTACCCATCTTCAGGGACTGGGAGGTCCTGTGCACAGCACTCCTTATTATGACGCCCTTTGTCCAATGCGTGCTCTGCCAATGCCGCCTGTGTGGCTGCATCCAACCCGCATGTCACCGTGACCTGGATCGCCCCCGTCGGCCGCGGTGATGACTGACGGCCCCGATTGTCCCGCGCCGTGACTGTCCCCCGCTAAGAAGGTTCGTAAAGTCAGATAGGGGGGAGGCAAATTGATGTGGCGGTTGACAGAGCGGTCGGTGGACATCCAGGCTTCTTGCACTTGCCTTGCTGTGCGATCGCTGCCCCGGCCCACAATCTCAACGGCGTCAAAGTTGAAGATGTGTCCCATTTGCGCGGCATGGGTTGCCACCTCCGACTTTGGGTTCAACCTTCGCACGGCCAACTTATGCTCGTGCATTCGCGTTTGCAGCCGTCGGCCGGTTTCCCCAACGTAGTTTCAACTTCCGCAGCTGCATTGAAGTCGGTAGACAACGGCCGACATCTCCTGCTTAGGGATCGGGTCTTTCGGCCGCATCACTTGCCGGCGGATTGTTGAGTCAGGCCTGTGGGCAACACCTATTTCGAGTGGCGCGAGTGATCGGGCCACGACTTCGGAGAACTCTTTAATGTGCGGAATGCTCCGCCACGAGTTTGGCTGACTATGCTCTTCGTTCCGTTTCTTTGGCTGCCTCCGGCTTCGTTCAATGAATGCCCGCGGATAGCCATTGGCTCTGAGGAGTTCTCGGAGGAGCTTTATCTCATCCAGTTTGGCGGCTGGCGTGCTGCAATGAGTTTCCACCCGTCGGTACAGCGTGCGGACACAGTTTCGTTTGTGTTGTGGCGGGTGGTTGCTGTGGTAGCTGAGAATTTGCAGCGTGTTCGTCGGTTTTCTGTAGACCGACGTCGCTAGTTCGCCATTTGGTTGGCGGCAGACGAGAACATCCAAAAATGAAAGTTTGTTCTTTACTTCCTCTTCCATCGTGAACTGTAGATCGGGCATGATTGAGTTCAGTACTTCCGCATAGTAGTTGATTTTATCCTGGTCTATGATTACGAAGGTGTCATCAACGTAGTGTGCCCAAAACTTGGGTTTGTACTCCTCGAATAGTCGTCTCTCGAGTTTTTGTAGAACCGCCTCGGCAATGAGTCCGGAGATTGGTGAACCCATTGGAGAGCCCTTGATCTGCTCGTATGTGGTCCCTTCGGAGGTAAAGAATGTCTTAAGGCAGCGCCCCATGAGTTCTATGAGATTCTGAGCTGTGGGCTGGCAATCGCCGCCGTCGTAATTTTGACGTAGCAGGTCACTGAGCGTTTCGACCGCAAGAGCCTGTGGCATGGACGTGAAGAGTGAGACGACGTCAAAAGACACCATCCTTTCATTCGGTTCGATCGTGACTGTCCTTATTTTGTCAAGGAATTGTTCTGCTGAGTGCACCGTTGTTTGTGAGCCTGCAGTTAGGGATCTTTGCTTCCGAAACAGCCAGCTTGCAAACCCGTATGTGGGTGTGCCTCGGAGTGAGACGAGAGGACGGAGGGGAACATCTGGCTTGTGTACTTTTGGGAGACCATAGAATCTCGCCATAGCGGTTTCTGCGGGCTTTGCCATATACCAGTCTTTGACGGTGATGACCTTGTCCTTTTTTAGTCGAGCCAGAATTCTGTTAACCTTTGCCACTAGGGACTTTAGACTGGCGGCGTCGCTGACTTTGTAGGACTCTCGATCGTTGAGGAGCAGGAGGGCTTTGCGTCGGTAGTCCACCTTGTCGAGGATGACGGTTGACCGGCCTTTGTCAACAGGCAGAATAACTATTTCGGTGTCCGCTTTCAGCTCTCTTAGGGCCTTTTGTTCATCTCTTAGCAGGGAATGGGTTTTCCCAGTCCCTGAAGATGGGTAGACGGATAAATTACCCGAAACGTCGGATCTCAAATAAACCCGTCCCGTTGAACGCCCCCTCTTCTTTTGATATGCCACCTGGGAATCGGATTTTCACTACCATTGATATGAACCGATATATGTTCGGCATACAAAACTAGGTACTCAGACATTTTATATTTTAGTACAATCTAAGCCTCCCTTTCTAGTGTCTTTGTTTTCAGTTCAAGGGTAAAATTACCGGCGACAAAGGGCGTTTCCTTTCCAAGCATCGCCAATAAAAGCGATCATTTTGTTCATCCACTAATGACTGTCGTTACGCTCCGATAAATTAAGGAAAGAACCAGATTACTGAACACACAATGTGCACATTAAGTCACCAAACGCTTACAGGTTCTATCTGATAAAGGGATAAATCTGTAATATCCTTTTCCTTTATTTAAACAGGGCGAATTTGGCAAATGAAGTGAAGCATGCTTTAATGACTTTATAAAATTTCAAAATCTCTCCACTGCAGAAGATTTTGCTTACTTCCGAAACGCAATAATGAGACGCTGAAATATTTAATTGAATATCTGAGTCGTAGAATGGTCTTATGGAAGCAAATGGGGTGGACACCAGGTCAATTTGACCTCAGGCACGCGAACATGTAGTATCTTTCTCCCTACGTCTCAGCCTCATAGCAGTATAAAGTGTGCGCTGTCCTTGGGTGTATGAAGATGCAAACGCAGGCCTTGGGTAGATAACTGTGGCATCGTTCGCAGGGTCCTTCCTCAACGAGCACATCGAAGCTCTTACTTCGGCCCTTAAAAACAGCCCCGACAGGTATGTGGCTGATCGCACCCCAAACTGTTTTTGCTTGCACCCAGTTTTCTTTCGTGTAAAATCATTTATACGCTTATAAGCATAATCAAAGGAGACGTACATAGACAGACTCGTCGGGGTGGACATTTTGAAGCTTAAGCATATAGGTTCAACAGAGGTATACTTTGTTCAGTCGTGTTTGTGCCGCCTCGGAAGCAATTTATAAATATTAACACATTTAGATGTTTTACAAATGCCTATCGGCCCCTTATAACTTGAGAGGTCTGAAGCCTTCATTACTTTATGCGACCGTGTTTTGCATGAGTCTCTCAGAGTGCGCATTATTTGTAAGGGTGTTTTTGGAATAAATTTTATCATCTACGAACACCTCAACAAAACTTATATTAGTGAACTAAGCAAGGAAACAACAAATATGTCTTTTTTCTCTGAGTGTTTGTAAAGCTCTGGAGGTGGATAAACTGCTCTTTTCGACTTCTCTTTTGACAAACGAGCCTCTGGAAAGAGCCATTATTCCTCCTGTCTAGGTGAACATGAAAAGTCGAAACTCATTGTTCTCTGCCCTCACTCGCAACGCCAATCCTCCTATTTTGTATGCTCGAGGTTATGAGTAGTCATCCCTCAAGCCCCTGGCTACCCAGCAAAAAGATACGTCAACCAAATATTTCGTCTAAATCGTGATTTTCTTGGAATTTCGGACAAACCGGGTTTATTGAAATGGTTACAGGTACCCCATCTAACCACTTATAAACCTGTCCATATAGAGTGAATTTACGTCCGTTGTGTGGAGCTCTTTTAGTCCACACAACTGTTTCTGGTCGATTATGCCTCGGCTTCGTGAGTACACATTATTCGGCGACACGCTGCCTGTGAAATCGCACTGTTGATTCGCCTGTCAAGGTGCTGCGGCCCGTCTACGAGAGAATATTCGTGCGCAGCTGGATCTGTTTCTTCAATGGGCCGGTGCATCAGTGACAAAATAGGCTATAATGGCAAACTCGATTGGTGGAATTCGCTGTAGCCCAAGTAATCCAAGAACTTGTGAGACGTCGGACCTAGAAGACAGAGTACTTTCCCGTCTGTGAATTCGCTTTTCCTTAGAACTGCAAGATTTTCCGGGAAAAAACTTCTCTAGTGTTGTGGTTGTCTGTATAAATTACCCAGGATCACTCCGTTATGGTTGTGTCTTACCTAAGCAGCTTTTCCCGTCCAGGGTTAGAGTCCAGCTAAGGTGAAGATATTGCTAGGATCAAGACAGAAACAGGGATTCACGAGTTAACACACAAAGCAAAAGTAGGCGATAAAAAAAGACTATACACTCTCGAAAGCGAAGAAAGGAATGATATTTGGAGATGATACCGAAAGAGATTTCGAAGGCTGAGTAACACGTCTGGTCGACTTAATTCCACCGGCCTGCCACACACTAACCGCGAACTGGGAGGTGTGAAATGTAAACGCAGATTCCGGTTTTCATCAAAAATTTGAGCAGAATGCTCTAACGCACTGAGCCCTGTGGGAAATCATCAGTCACATAAATGCAGCGTTGCCTTGGTCTGCTTACAGAAATGAAAATTCTCACTACATTTTCTGCTGACTAAGGGTTACAATTGACAACGTCGGCGCTTTTAATTTGCCATAGTTATAGGTCTATATGACGCACGATTTATCGAATGTGTATGTCAAGCGTGTTAACCATCTTTATATGATATTATCGATTTTACTTTTAGAAAGTTGCTTCCTGTTGAATGGGTTCGGATTTCAAAATTTCATGGCTTTTTATTACGTAACTCCGAGCAGGTGTCGACGCAAAAGGAAGCAGCAGAAAACCCCACAAGCACGACAGACTACCTAAAATGACACATAGGAAGACACGGTTGATAGTTCAGTGAGTGTCCGTAACATCTTTTAATGGTTCATTTTGACCAACTGTGAAAACGCTTCGCTTCGGCGACCTACGCCAGGAGCCGCGAGTTTAATTACATTTGGGTCAAGCTATCCGCCCAGCCTACTCCAACGTATAGAATCCACCAAATCTGATACAACAAGCTGTCTGTCCAGGTTGGATTTTTTAAATTTCACTCATTTGTCTAATCACCCTCGCCTTTCAGCACCGAGCGGGCTACTGATCCTGTGGTCGAATGACCTGTCCCTTTCTGCTCCTTCGTACCTTCCCTCCAAACTTATTCTCCGTCCTTCACTCTCTCTCTCTCTCTCTCTCTCTCTACTCTCTACACTACTCATCTCTATCATCATCACTGCAAATGGACAACATGCCGGAGGCAAGGGGGCCTTCCTGTGCTACATGGCGGAAGCGTTCCCAAATTTCTAGGCTAAAGGCAAAAGCCAAACCCAGGGGCAGGCTGAACTACCTACAACACACCGGGACGGAGTACAAGCCCATTGGACGCAGATACGGTAATTGTGGACTAATCGTGCGTACATGGTACTATTTGTACATTACGCTCACCTGCATGAGAAACAGTTCTTAACCAGCTTTTGGCATTGCATTGAATGCTCCAAGTTCGGTATTCTATGAAACTGAAGATGTTGAATCCATAAAATTTCCGCAGATATTTTCCCGAGGCGGATATAGAGTTCGCCATAAAACTTAAAGAGGGGAGGACGGATATAAGGAGTAGCAGGGAAAATTGCATAGAGGAAGACACCGAAAGTGAAATTTTGACAACCCCTGGACGCTACAGAAGTGTTCACCCGAACCGAAAGGAAAGAGATAAGGCATACGATGATGAAGGTACGGCTATGCGAAGATGGACTCGAACGGAACCACTGTAGCCGTCACTACAATGGGGCAGGGAAACATCCGCGGACTAAACGGTAAGCCAAGCCCGTAGCAGGTTAAGGCAGTTTGCTGCCGGCTGAGAGCCTGTAAACAGCAAGCTGTAAGTGCTATGTCCATGGTGACCAAGGAAGCTAATTCTTCCAAGCTCGAGAAATGAAATGCCGCAACCTACACACAACCGGCAGACCGGCAAAGGCAGGACGGGTATCGAAAAGGGAAGGCGAACGGAGGTCGGTGAAAACTTGTCCTCAAACGTGCACGGGTTGTGTAAAAACGGTAATTGAGGACAAGCAGGTACGTGTATAGGTCGTTGATGTGTTAGATTAGTGTGTGCAACTTCACACATGGTAATTCTGCTCCCCGCTCACCTCCGCTGGCTGCACGAATCACCGCATCGTCACCTCCTAGATAAGGCTCCGTCTGCAATCGCGCAGGAAGCCACAAGCACACAGTAAGCTACTGACTCAGTGGCTGGAAGACCTGCCCCTTTCTACTCCTTCGCATCTACTCGCCGCCCTTCTTATCACTCCCTCTTCTCTCTTCTTTCTTCGCCGATGGTCGAAAATCCTACGATTCACGGCATCGCCATCCCCAAGATGAGGCTCCGTCTGTAACGCAGCAGGGGGCACAAGGTAAGTGACTCCCTAGGTAAGCTGAATATCGCTTGATTATCGTTGCCTAATTATCCCTTTCTTTCAGTACTCAGCAAGCTATTGACCCAGTGACCGGATGACCTGCCCCTTTCTCCTCCTTCGTATCTTCTCTCCGCAATTGTCCTTTGCCCTTCAGTCTGTCTCCACTCTACTCTACTGACTTACCCCACGGTCGAAAGTCCTGCGGGGAGGGTAACAGCAATCACGTAGGTGGCTCAGGACATTGGCCGTTCTCTTACTAGACCCCGTGACCCATAATGGAGAACAGTATCCCTCTGGTGAGCACTGGGAGCACTGTTTTTCACTCGAGGGGGAAGGCGTTGGAAAACGCCTCCTAAACAATGCAGGGCTCATGACATCTGCGCGCTGACTGTGGCTCACAGACTGCTTAATATGCTAACGGAACCAAAACTCCAGATAAAATACTCTCTATTTCTCCTCCTTTCCACCGTCCCAGCCGACAGACAGCTAGGGTGAGTCTGCTCACTCTGGCAGCCTGGAATGTTCGTTTCCTCTTAGACGATCCGAGAAGGAACCGACCGGGACGGAGGACAGCGCTAATGGCTCTGGAACTGGCGCGTTACAGGGTGGACATCGCTGACCTCAGCGAGACCCGGTTCTTCGAACGAAGCCAACTGCAGGAGGTGGATACTGGCTACGCCTTGTTCTGGAACGATGTTCCCAAAGCAGAGCGACCTGACGAGAGCATCGCCCTTGCCATCTGGAACGACATCATGGGACGACTGCCCTGTCTGCCGCAGGGCATCAACGATCGCCTGATGAGCCTCCGCCTGCCTCTCCGGGGAGGCAAATTCGCCATCATGGTCAGTGTCTACACCCCGCCGATGACCAGTACAGACAAGGCGAGGAACAAATTATACGAGGATCTTCACGCCCTCCCCGCGACTGTGCGGATGGCAAATAAGTTGATTGTCCTTGTTGACTTCAATCCCCGCGTCAGCACAGACCATGATGCCTCGAGAGGAGTGTTGGGTCCCTAACAGTCTCGGAGGCTCCAACGACAATGAGAGGCTCCTCCTGCGAACCCGCACAGAACACCGGTTCATCCCGACTAACACCTGCTTCCACCTACCAACGTGTGGGGGCAACCTGGATGCACCTTCGGTCGCGACAGGGGCACCTGCTGGACTACGTCCTCGTCCAGAGAGGAGACCAGCAGGTTGTGCTAGTGAAAAGGCGATTCCGGGTGCTGACGGGTAAACCGACCATCGTCTCGTCATCACCGATATGCAGATTTGTCTCCGGCCACGCAGGAGACCTCAAGACAAGCACCCCCAGGTCAGATAAATATTGCTTTGTTGTCATTGCCCGCCCACCATCTCCACTTCAGCAGTGAGCTCGATCAACGACCAGCCAACCTTCCAGTCGCCGCCTCCGCCGCCATCGAGGAGAACGCCTCCGTTGGGAACCGATGGTGCCAGCTCGGGGAGACAGTCCTGCCGACGGCTCTGACTGTCCTCGGTCGCGCACGCTGCCTCCATCAAGGCTGGTTCGATAACGACGCTACCATCAACAACCTGCTCGTCAAGAAGAACCACCTGCACAAATCCTACGGCAACTTCCCTACTGACGACAACAAAGCAGCGTTCTACCGTAGTCTCCGCCTTGTGCAACAGCGGCTGCGAGAGATGCAGGACACTTGGACGGCTCGCAAGGCCGAGGAGATCCAAGGGTATATGGACCGCAACGATTGGAAGAACTTCTTCGTCGCGATGAAGGCTGTGTACGGTCCTACAATCAAAGATATTACTCCTCTTCTCAGCGCCCACGGAACCACGCCACTCGCTGAGAAGACACAGATCCTACAGCGTTGGGCCGAGCATTTAAGAGGCGTCCTCAACCGTCCCTTCACCATCTCCGACGCCACCGTCGCTCGTCTGCCGCAAGTGGAGATCTCTCCAGCGGGAGAGCATTCGGATCAGATACGATTCCCGCTGAGCTCTACAAGGACGGCAGTCCGCAACTCATGGATTATCTGACGTTTTATAAAGCTGTGAGATCATGAGGAGGGTTGGCTTCATGGGGCACTTGCGACGCAAACAGTTCATGATGCCCCGGACATCAGCAATACCAACAAAACGATTATAAGTATTTTCGCATCAAACCGATATGTATACTTCCACGTATGCAGTCCCGAAGAATTGCTTATACTTAAAAACTCAGCTACACGGACATTCTGGACTTTAAAGTACGCTAGCGTCATCTTTTCGAATTTCGATTCGATTCTCATATCATTTTTTGTACACTTGAGAACGGGTTTTTGATTTGTGAATAAGTGAAGCTGGACGTAGTTCAGTCGCTTATCCTTGTTGTTTTTGCTCAGCTTTGACGCTGGACGTAAGAACTGTCCAGTTCCTCCTAATAGACTGTGGTACTGTCAACTCGTAAAATAACATGTGGATTCAAAAACTGCGGTGTTCTTATTATTGTAGTTTCAGAGTAGCTTCATAGCACATGGTTTGCAGCATTTTAGATTACGAAAGCACCACTGCCGCCAATCAAGAATCTCATCTAATGAGATACTGAAAGACATCAGCGTATGCTACAAGGTGCAAAACTGTCGTTTGTAAATAAGTTCGAAATTGTTCGGAAAACACGACTGCCTAAGAACTTTCAATCTTCCACAGCATAGTCATACGATGAACTGCTGATGTTAGCCGACTTTACATGCCCCTCAATCTTTGCACTGGCCGCGTGTTGCTTAGGCACGGGATAGTTTAGGAAGATAGAGTGAGGCACTGAGTAGGCATTATAAACACCATCAGTTGTGCCACCTTCCTGAACGATACACCTCCTTGGAGTGCGTTCGTTAGAGAGATTGGCGGTTTGAGGCAGCCCTTCTGAGACACAGCTGTTGGTTGAGGGAGCCGTATCGTTGTAGATGTTGGTTGTTTGCTCCAAGGGCAGGATAGTATATGAACTCTTCAGGCCGTTGTTTAATTTCGTCATTGGAGGCCGGGAGTATAGTGTGGCTTGTGAAGTTTCCTTGTAATTTGAAAAATAGCCGCAGCGCGGACAGGCTGAAGGAAGGCCAGTTGACAGCAAAACCTGCACCTCGACATTCTTCGCCTGTGAATTAAACAAAAAACCGCTACAAAATCTTGAGTACGAAATCTTAAAAGGTAACAGCCTGCTCAAACTTGATTGTGTCCGAAAATTGCGCAGTGAATTATCAGAAGTCAACTTCTGACGCCTAAGTGCTAAAAGATCTGCCAAGTTATGTAAAGATAGTCAGATAAAACATGCAAGAGGCAAAATTAAATCTGATGGCACTAAAGCGGACTATTTTCTAACGGCTTCCGTGAATTCAAAACACATTCGGGTAAACGACACCAGAAGTACACCCACCGAAAATATTGATTTAAGTGAGGGAAGAAGCTGCAGCTCGTCGCTTCCGACCCCCAACCCAAAATATTGTACGCTTGTTTTGGATAAATCTGCATCAAAATTTTCAAAATTGGGATATCCAAGGTTATAATTTCGGAAAGAACAACGGCTGGTTGACATGGATTTATTATTTTGCTTAAGGCTTGGATAGCTATGTTGATTGCCGGCAATGTTATTAACCGTCAGCCCAGTGTCCTAAAACCTACTTCTATTTTGATGAGTAGATGCATGAACAACTATAGGATACTCCTGTGGACTACTCTCTATCGGGCTTGATTGCCGACGTTATCCTTCATGGGAGAGGGTACTTGGTGTTCAGCAGCTAACAGCTAATGTTGTGGGCTCACCATACCGATGACATTGTCATTCTCAAAATAACTCGCGCCTAACACATCAAGGAGTGATTGCACTCGACTGTCTAGAAACGGTGAAACCTTGATTTTAAAATGGAACACACACCAGAAATGTTGGAACAAACAGGTTTTGGCAGATTTCGAAAGCCGCATCTCTTATGTCTTACTTGCCATGAAATTATAATTCATAAAGTTCTACAAAGTAGAAAAGATGTCTTCCACATTGAAGAGAGGTTGAGGACTCTCACGTAACATCAATTGAAGACTAAGATTATTCAATTTGCAAAACTACAAAACTTCCTTTCCATTATGCTGAATACTAAGTGCAAGAACCTCACCCACACTAGATGACCGCGTGCAAAGCGAAAACCAAACAAGAGCCACTCTGCGTTTCTAGGTTCCTAGACAGCTCACAAAGCCAACGTCTTGCCTGTAATGTCTTGCCTGTAATGTCTTGCCTGTAACGTCTTGCCTGAAACGTCATCTCTCGCCTCAAGCATCCTTCTGACAGAGAAAACGGCATAACCATGTTTACATAAAAAGTTTAAGGAAATCGAGTCAAGGGCCTTATCCTTAGAACAAAAAGATATTTCGAACTGGATCTGCTTAACCGTGCCGCAGGGAATCCTAAATTATTTTACGGTTACAAAAGACAGAGCACGCAAAACAAGGGGCCAATACAACTGCTAAGGAGATGAAAATCTCACTGAAGATAAAGCGAAAGCTGATCATCTTTCCGAATTTTCTCGGTCTGTTTTTAGTAGGGAAATTGGATTCAACCCTCCCCTGAGTGACTTCGAAGATGCCACAATTACTGAGACCGAAGGCCTGTTCCTGATGGAGCTGATGAAGCCAAAGGAGTCAACATCATCATGTCCCGATGAGATTCCGACAAAGATCTTGAAGAGGCCGGAAGAAGTCATCCATCTGTTGATTTTCACTACGAAGAAAACCAGGTATAACCCCCATAGAAACGATTTTCGGATAGTGGCGGCTTTCTGAAACTAGACCCCTCCTCATTATACTACACTGGAGATATCTCTGGACCAGGTTAGTCGAAATTTCTACGTGCTTGCGGGATGTAATGATTAAAGAGGCTTTCCTGACGAAATGGAGAAGCACATGATCTGTTTATTACTTAATGCGACATTGGCGACTTTTGGGATCCCATTTCCATAAAGGCACACCAGACCTTAACACTTGCTGGGGGATAAACAAGTTTCGGTGTCTGGAAGTCCACAGTACGCATATGACCTTTGCGGTCTTCACTGGTCCTCGAACTGTCTGATTCATAAAATACGTCCTGTTTCCCAAGCAGGTAATGTACATAGTACCCTCATGAACGCGTACTAAGATTTCACCTGAATAACACACCGTGATATAAGACAGCTGAAAAACACCACGTTTATCTTTGGTTTTCAGAATTCTAGAACTTGCAGAAAGGCACTGATAATAGTCGCATGAATCCCACAATTACTGTCACTCGTCTTATTTTCATTATGTCGACTTTATTTAAAGTCATTCCGGAAGCAGCTGCAATGGTAACAGCTTCAACAGACAGAGCACTATTTCCAAATGACAGGAAATTATCAGAAGAGTTCCTATGCATCTGGTCATCTTCAGACTTTAAAATCAAGAAAACAACTAAGGATTCTTACAAATTCTCCAGGCGATGTTTGGATTGCTTTGTTAATGCCATTAGGCCTGGGAGTCGGTATGAGTTGTGGACCAGCTGACTGTATATCTTGCCAAAAATCTTTTTGTGGTGTCTCTGTTCGTTGGTAGTTGGAGGTCGAGAATGTTGACTTCGACGTGCTGTGCTCTTTTTCATGCGGTTCTATCGACTGCAAGAGTTCCTGTCTTGGGCTGGAATGATTTTGGACAAGGGATGGAACCCAGTCCTCTGTTAGGACCTCTAAAAGGGAGTCAGTCGACACCGGCCGATCTGATTGATGGTCGTGCTCCTGTTCGCAAAACGACACTAGGTTGCTTTCGTGCATCCGACTGCTATCAAAAGTATGACCCATCGAAGGGCATCCTGTGGATCTCTTGGATGACTGGCTTGAAACTTCAAATTGGATTTCTCGCCCCTGGTCCTCCGATGGAAGATACCTCGGGGGTAACGCTCGCGAAACTCCTGGCATTGGTCGGCTTGGTAGTGCTCTGTAAACAACGAAAGCAGTTTAACTTTTGAAACATGAACATACCTTGAATAAAGGCGAATGTGTGCGTTTTAGGTTCTTGTTGAAAAAAGACGAAGACGCGATCACTGAAATGGTAGGTGCACTAGTCTGAGCTTTCAAACTCGTAGAGGGGTCCACCATCAGAGACTTTGAATGCAACAACGAGTGAAAATTTTGTGGTCGAACAGCGAAAAGAGGAAGGAGGGGGTGGACTTCCGTACGAGTTCGAAACCATAGACTAAGGAATCAACCGTTCCAGTGGACGTGTTTTCGTCTTTTTTTAACAAGAACCTGGGACGAGCATATTTGCCTTCATCCGTGAGAACTTCGGCGCGGTACGATTCGCACAGCTCTCAACTGGGAGACATTTCCCACGCGAGAGGCAGCAACATATGAACAGCTATGCTTTCTACGCAAATGTAATCGTGACGGACTGACGCCGAAGAGCCTTCGTTACAAAGCTCCCGTGAATATAGAATTGGGTAGAGACGTTATGCAACGTTTTCGCAAGCTAATGATGAGGGCGCTGATTAACGCTTGTCACCTGGGCTTGTGCAGGTACCGAATTGTCACTGAGGAAAAAAGGACGGAGTGCACCGCATTGCTTGGCGGATCCGTTGTTTATTGCCTGGGCTGAACAATATCCGCTCCGGCAAAAACGAGACAGGAAGATAAACACACGAAGACAGTTCAATAAACTGAAATCCATGTCAACCCCATCGAAAATGCAGATCAGTTCATTTCACTTCAGTTTATTTGAGCAAAAGATAGGTGTTGAACTTTTAAACTCCCTGTTTGCTACTGGGGTACGAATTATATCAAGAATGTGAAAATGGTAGCTTCAAACAGCCGCAGGAGTTTTTCGAAACCAGTCCGATAAATGAATTGTTCCAAGTGTCAAAAATATTAACGTTACTAAATGTGCTGTACAGTAGTCAGTCTATGCATAATTGGTGCGATCTCAATTTCTGAGAGACGAATTGAATGCCAACGCTCACATTCAACAGCCTTGGGATAATAAAAAAGCAAACGTTACTGGAATATAGACAGTAATATAATAACATTAATATACTGTCAGAACGGAATGCCTAGATGATATCGGTCAGGTGACATTATGACGTTTAGTAGTATACTGGTCCAACTTGCGCTTAAAAGCCTCGACGGATGTGGACATGACGATATTTGCAGGCAGAGCATTCTATGCCTCAATCACTCTGTTTGAAAAGAAGAACTTTCGCATGTTCTGCCTGGCGCCAGTCGCACGTAGTTTAAGTGGATGAAAGCGGAGGTTCGTTGTGGTTGCTAAGTCAAAGAAATCAGCTGGTAAGAGACAATAGTCCTGGCTGCGCATTATACGGGATGTTTGTATCAGGTCGTCTTTTAGCTGTCTATGAATCAATGAAAAAGTCCGAGATTGGATAGCCGTGTTTCGTAGGGTAGTTAACCCTGTCCACTAACGAGTTTCGCTGCCCGCCTTTGAACTTTCCCACAGATGCTGAGGTTTTTAGAGGTCCAGGGTTTCCACGATTGAATACCGAACTCTAACTATGGCCGTATAAATGACCGAAAGACATTAACGAAGCAGTTCTCATCGAAGGTAGAGGAAGTTCGCTTGACAAGGTAAATGACTGACATTGCGGACTTGGCCACCTTGGAGCAGTGGAGCGACGGTTTAAATGAAGTCGTGACGCACATACCCAAGTATTTCTGGGCGTTTACCTCCTGCAATAGTAAGTCATTTAGGTGGTTGACACTCCGGCTCGGAGATCGGGTCCTACTGACTCGCAGAAAGTTGCACTTAGTTACATTAAACGGCAGAAACCAGCCCTGTGACCATTTCTCGAGTCGGGTTAAGTTTGCCAGCAAGCGCTCTTCGTCAAATTCAGTTCGGATGACTCTCCAAAGCTTAACATCATCAGCGAACACAGCAACACTACAATTACGTTCACTGATGCAGTCGCTGACCTATATAATGAAAGGGTACGGCCAATGACGGAGCCCTGAGGAACACGGATTTCAACCGCTACTTTCGCCGACTGCCTGCTATGAACGGGAACAATTTGAGAGAGATCCACCTCAGGAGATTACTCCTAATGCCTGTTCGACCTAATTTGTACAGGGGACACTTATGTGGTACACTGTTAAATGCTTTCTTAAAATCGACGTATACAACGTGCACTGCATTGCCGCCATCAACTGCCCGGTCCAGCTTTCTAAACAATAAAGGCCAAGATCGCAGTTGGTAGCCCGACATTATACGTTGATACTGTCGACGTACTTACTTGTTATCATAATGGCTCCAGAGCATTTGTATAATCCGTTGATCACAGGCTCAAAATGGTGCATAATAGATTGATTTGGCCGGAAAATCGGTCGGATGTGGTTTGGTAGCCCCAACTGAAGTAAACAAACCCCATTCACCTCTTATACGGGACCTGTGGTAATAGGCGTTTTTACAGGTGGAGCCGGATAACGCACGGGCGACGAGGTCAAGTAGTTGTATGGTAAGGAAAAGCTATTGGGAGTGCGTGGTTGTGCTTTCCATGGTTGAGAAATAGTTGCGCCAACGCCTAATCCTACACCCAACCCCTGACTATGGCCCCTTATCCCAAACCCCAACCGCTAACCCTAACATTTAACCCTTACCCCTAACCCTAACCCCTAATCGCAACCCCTATCTCTAACACCTAATCGTAACCCTTAACCCCAAACCCAGCAATTTTGTGTCCATCAGGTGGGGCTATCAAATCAAATCTTACCGGGAAATCGGAAAATAAACTGAAAATAAAAATAAAATAAAACTGGTGGCCTGTAGAGAGGCTGGCCAGGGACAAAGAATTTTGGAAAGAATTAGCGGATACGATCATATGCACACCATGTTTTGTGTAGCAGTGGACGTACACACTGAAAGTATACGATGATTATGCCTGGGACTAAAAACCCCTCATAGAACGAACGAGTCTTCCAATGAGGTTTTAAGAAGTTATTTCGCTAATAAATGTCCACATTCGGATTTACGTTGACGGAAAAAATTAAGACATGTTGTCCACTTATACACCAACCGTACGGTTGCTGATAAATTTGCCGACGCAAACAAATAACTCCTAGTTTTCCTTAATTTGAAGCCATTTCGACGTTTTTTTCATTTAAGCTCCGTTCAATGACTCTGATTGCCACAAATAGTTTTCATACGGATGCTACTGTATCTCTCCATTAGGCAGTGTACTGTCTGTCCGGTTCTGAATTATTCATAATCAGAAATCGCACCACCTAAAGGCCTATTTCCATGAATTGACGATGCAAAAAAGCGGCTTGTTTGTGAGACGTTTCGCAGTTTCGCATATCTTGCCTCACCTGAATCAGGCGGAACCAAAAATCAAACTTTAAAGCCAGCGATAATAGTTCTGGCAATTTTTGACGTTTTTTAATATCCTCTACAAGCGAAACGCGCATTTGTAAGTAGAGGTGACATAAGGCAATATAAGATGGGAAATTTCCTGAAAGTACAATAACTTTTGAGCCCGCCTAAAATCATTTTTTTCGTCGCAAAGAAGTTGAGCAACATTTCTGCATTCAAAAACACTTTTCTGGAGTGCAAAACTTTCCAAAGGCGCCAAAATTGTCATCTAGATGATGCGCATCATGTTTCTTGGGTTATGTCTCTTTCTGTTTACATTCATAAAAGTTTAACGAGATCCCACTGGGTTTGAAAAATAAACTATTAAGTAGGAGAAGTGGTTTTAACATCAAAAGCTCTGACATCGACTTCTAGCCGAAGGTGTACGGCGTTTTTTGTCACCTACGCTCTACGGACTGAAGACTTTCCTCAGTGGGGTCGTTACAATAGAATATGAAGGTCTTTGATGGATACTTCAGTTAACTTCAGTTTATACTCCATTCATGCCAACGCTGTAACTCTAGAATAGTAATATTTTTATATGTCAGCGTGGTAGAGGATGCCATTTGCAGTTTTACAACTTCCTTTATTAGTAAATGTTTGAAAGCTCAATATATCCGAATCAAAGGTTAAGGAGTCGTCTGCATCAGACTTCTAACGTAAGGTCATGTGTGTTTGCCAAGAATTACTTAGGATTCTACAAAAGCATTGTGTTAACTACAACTTTCGCTGAATAAAGGACCACTCGCCCCTAGTATCATCAGCGAGCTGCGAGCAGTCAGAAACTTGTGAATACATGCATGCTTTGTCGTACAGCTTGAAATAAAACTTCAACTCCCCAAAGATTTTATTTACAACTCGGTTAGAACAGCTGATGAGTCGTCTCAGCGATACATAAATGTGTGGAACAAATGAAATCCTAAAACACTTACAAGGGATATACACAAACAACGTACACTTTCTTTTATTGAAGATTGCACTGCCGAATGGGGAAAAACAATTGTGGGACGCTAACCCATTAGGGTGAACAAATTAACTTGCGACTATGCTCCATGTCTGTCAATACTGGGGAACTTTGCTACAAACTACTTTTTACTTTAATACATGCTTAAGGGTTTGCGTCGGTGCTTTAATAGCTTAGTCAACTACTGCACGCAAGAAGATTAAGTCATCTGCGTAAGGCATATTTGGAAACTATAAGGTACTATGAAATCTTTTCCTTTGGCCGTCTTTCTTCTTGCACAAACCTGTTAACATCTTAGCAATATGATGGCAGTATAATGTGAATTTTGCGTCATGAACAAAATGTAACAAACCTACATTCGGGCACTTGTTAGTAATCCCGTGGAAATGGAAATAGTAGTCAAAGATGGCTACAGCGGTTGCATAAATTTTTGCGAATTGACAAAACATTTGATTGATGATATGGACAAGATCGTACCTGAAAACCCCGTCAGTGCAACAACAATAGGGGGCGACAGAAAAATCACCAGTTTTTACGCGGTTACGGTATTCAGAATCCGGTGGTGAAATCGTCGGCATTATTAGAAAACCGCACTTCTCCCTTGGAGAGCGACAGGACTGAATTTGCGGAAAATTTCTGTATTCTTCGCAAAAGAAAATTTCTTCTGTGTTATTGGCACTTTCGAAATGACATGGATTATGTCTTGGATCCAATGGATTTGAATCCTGAAGCACGTAGGGAGGGGCAATTTGTGATATTAATATAAGAAAAGAGACATTCATAAAAGATATAAACATTTCACAAAAGCCTACAAGTTCTTCGCAATCAAAACCATGTTTTCATACTCCAGATGGCTGGACCTATCGAAAGCAAATCTTGCTCAACATATTTAGTGCAACTGGAGACGGGATCCAACATTTGTAGTCTCAATGATATGAAAAGTTCGGCGGCCCCAGTGGGACCCTCTAGCTCGCGTGGTTAAACCTTTGGCCCAACCACGGCCCTTTTCTTGCTCTCGGGGGTTCGAATCCCACCGGGGTTGCCGAGTTTTTCACAAATGGGTAAAATGAACGATTTAAAACTGTCAAAAATCCCTAGTTATTTTCCAGAAAGTCATTTTCAGGGTAAAAACGCTCTTTCGTGGCTAAAATTTATCAGGGAGAATGGAAGTACGAAAATCAAGACGCAACTCTGTAGGTGACAAACAAAAATTGGAAATAATATATCCCCAAAGTTGGCACCTTCCTAAAATATTTGTGCCAGTTAGACTTCATTGAGCATCTCAGGATAAAGCACGGGCGATCATCCAAAAAAGCACACAATCTGCCCTACAGGTTGGAACATCAAGTTATAAATTCAGGGATAATTAATCCCAATCCCTAGTTCACCAAGAGAGCATTGAGGGCTCATTGTGAGTAAAAAAGATCTATTTGAAGATCATAATTGTACGTAGTCCCCGCGCCGATCGGTTGCAATTGCTTACAAATATAATGGTTCAGAACGCAAAATAGTGCCCGTTCATGCCTATTAGCAACAAACTGCTAGAATTCCCTGTTGCATCACATATAGGTTATGCACGTTTAATCTCATTTTTTTCACTGAAAAGAGTATAATGCTTTAAAATAAGCCGCATTCCTAACAAATGAATGAGGACTGAATTTATCCTAGGGGATAAAACTTAATATCCAGTTCTGCGTCTTACGTATAAATCCGTATGTACCCATGAAGGGGTTGGTCGTCTCGTCTCATACTCTGGGGGGTACGTAGACAAGCAACACATAGGATGGCCTCGAATATCACGACCGAAATCTGCAGTTGGCCTTTGTTTTTGGAACGGAGTCCGCCGCCAGTCCTTAAAACTGCAGATGTCTGTGGACTTTCTTAAATCCTGCGAAAAATGTCCGTCCTTTTCTTGAGTGCTTTCAACTTTTTGGTCTGTTACCTCGCTCCTATACTGGATAAAGTCCGATTTATTGTGTTTGGAGATACTGACTGAGGATTCGGCATTCGGGGGTGGCCTTGTACTTCTCCATGGACGATAAGAATGCTCTGTCTGCGAAAGTTCTCCCTCGCATATGCTTTTTTCCCTGAAATGTCCCAAACTCTTTAATAAAAGAAGGCTAGCTATCTTTTAGGCAACAACTAGAAAATCGTTAAAGCCCCATTTCCTGACGCTTTACTAGCACTCAACAGCGTATACGCCCAGGATGTTGTGTTTCAAGCAGTCCCTGAAACTAAGAAGGGGTAGGTCGAGAGCTAGAACTGTCGTTTAACTTGTCCGTTATTTGAGCCTTCGCCACTTCTCGGACTGAAAGTCCTTGGGGCCTAACCCTTGACAAAGTTCTTTATACCCTCAAATCAAGCATGACTGCGATGATTCGTGATCATATTGTCAGTTAACGCGATCCCATTTCCAATCAAGCGCTCATGTATGACAGCACTTTGGATTACAGTTACTACGTCTTGTTCCATATTTACGTAGCTCAAAATCTAAGGCAAACAACTAGATGGTTTTGGCGATCGAGCTGTGTTTAACCTATCGCATACATATGTGCGGCGGATCGCATGGTCCAAAGACAAATATTTCAACAGTGTATAGAATAGATTCACGTATAAACGTCTCCTGACATTAACACAACAGCTCCTGCAGCGGCTTTCTGCAGATGAAGTTCTCGCACATTCTGCTAGACGGATTTTCATTTTATGTCTGTTTATTTCTCACCAAATAGGCACAAAATAAGCGGAATTCGGTCGACCATAAAAGATGCTCGAACAAGGCAGGATAGCCCAAAACAGAGAAGGGTATACTTATATGCCTGGAGTATACGTTAACCCTGTAATTCAAGCAAGCAATATTTAGTGTCCCTCCCACGCTAATTAGCTCTAAATTTTTTGCTGACGGCAACGTTTATGAGGAAGGCGATGACATTTAACGTATCCGTTATCTTCTGTCTAGTTGTGCGGAGACTGTCCTCCTATATATTCATTTCCGTTTTGATTTGGAGCATGTGCCTGAATTTACAGCTTAGACCATCAATGTATTTATACCAGTTCAAGTTATTCTGTTTAACGTCACCCAGCTTATTCGGAATACGTCTACGGACCGTTTTGTCATAATAAAGCCACTCGCCATACCGGTAGTCATTTTGAAATTGGGAACTGGCCTTTTATAAAATAAACCTCCGCAATGTTCAAAGTATCGGGTCGACTCGGCTAATTACGGTTTTTCCTGCTGCGTTTTGAGGTCTACAAATGAGGCCGTCAGTATACATGAGATAATGGGGCGATTTTGCTTAAATCTGTCAATCGAGATTCTCTTAATTATTATTTCTTAAATGATTTTCTTGAAAATCTTTTCCACTAATACGGGTATTGGACAACCAAAGCCCATCCCTGAAGAGGCACGGTTTCTGCGCATACGATCGGCTCACTCAATAAGAATTTTCAGCCTGAAATACCTTTTATGTCCGCTGCTATTGCGAGCTTAAGTCTTTGCTTCCACTAAAAATTCACCTTGATTTCCATAGGAAAGCAGAGTTCAAAGGTAGATATTATTTGTGAACTTACTTTAAAAAGGTTGCCATCATGACTTTTGCAGCAGTTTTGACGGAGTGGACTTATTATATTATTCTTTTATTACTGGCTTTTGTTGATGTTGACATTAAACTCTTATTTTAGCCACTGTTTTCTTAGCCGCTGTTTGCGTGTCACATGTAAGAACTATAACCGGCGTTGCGATAAAACCGAGGAGATCCGCTAGTTCCTAGTTCAAAAAATGCGTCTACGCTATAGCGGAGAAATAAAAACGCTCAGCACGATAAGAGGCCTGCCGCTTAGAATTGACAAAACTGGCCATCCTACTGATCTCCTTTGTCAGCGTGTGGAAAAATGACTGAGTAAAACAAATTTTGCAATAAATCCCGCTCATTTTTCGATTTTTTGTTTAAGACGTATAAGTTATGAAATGGTAGGCTTTGCGTGACTGCCCATTAGACCTCTACTTATGTAATTTAAGACAATATACAACATCAAGTTCAACCCTCTAGTAGGGGCGCATGAAAACGACCAGGATTTAATGAAATCTCCACGGGCTGCCAAGACTGCTGTGTAAATACTGAAACAGACATTTATATCAGTGCAGTTTAAGAAAACGTATACAATTTAAACCTTTGCTTACAAAAATGCGGTATAGTACTCTGTCAGAATGTACATACCCATAGCCCGCATGCCGGATTATTGCATCGAAAGCGTCATCTAGACGTCTCCTTGAATGAAAAAAATAAGTATACAATGCTTCACAATTTAGGAATCTAAATATTTCCTAAAGCATTTATCCTTACTTTTATTTTGTTTGACATCTATAATTTGTTTTTGCAATTATTTGGCAGCAATAACGAAAACATTTAGCAGACGTTTTTTGGATAATTAGTTCACTCTTTAGTTTCTCAGTATTATAATAGACAAAAAAGATGTCAGTCCATCTTAAAATTGTTACTAACATCCGAAACAGAAAGCGTGACTGCAAAAGATGCACTCTACTATTCCATGCGATTTGTAGTAAACATAAATTACCTTCTTCTGTACGACTTTGAAGGTCCTTTGGCAGTGGGAGATTCAAACACCTGAGGAAAACATCAATCTTAATTTCATAACGTTTGTTGTAATTTTCAGCGATAATAGCAAAACTACAAAAGCACGTCTTTAAGGATTGGGTCACTAAAGACGCCAACAAGCCATTATCTAATAAGTGCGTGGAATTCCTAACAAGGAGAGGCACATAAAGTTTATAGATACTTGCGTTTGAAACACACATAAAATGAACGAAGTTAATCTAATTTAATAAGTCTGCTAAACTAGTTTGAGTAGAGGCGTCACCGTCGATGGCCTTATTATTTGCTAGGAATTTACACAAAGATATAATTTTTTGGGGCCGACGTTGACAGTGTAAAGCAGATATGACACTAATTACAATAATGACAATAATTTATGTTCCATTAATAAAAGTGTACGTCTATTACAAAATAAAGGCTGTGATACAAATGCTCAGAAATGGTCGTTACAAGGAAACCCCTCTTGCAAAGAATAAAAAAAGTGGCGTTAAATAAACAGGTCTTTCTAAACAGTTCGTCATTTGAACAAGATTCATATTTGGTGACAGTTAATGCCTACAAAGGTGGCAGGTTAGTGGATTAACTCAAGTTAATGCTTGAATAACAAAAGAGAAGAAGGCATAGCCTACGCCCGAAAACGTGCCTTACTTTAAATATGGTCAAGCTAAAGAATTAAGTTCTTCCGGAATTTGAGGCGACATATGTATAGATATGTTCAACTGAAACCTATAGGTTTCAGTTGAACTTCAGTGTGAACATGTTCAGTTTTAAAAATAGTCACATCTGGTTTCATTGGGCATATATCATCAATCTATCTTTGCTAACGTTTTTAACAAATTATTTAACATAAAAAAATTTGAGACGTTTTTCAAAATTTATATCCGAACTCATTAAGCGTCCGAAGCTGTCCAGCTTGACCTCTGAAAAATATAATAGCAAGCTGAACACAGTGAATTATGATGATGGGTAACCATGTGTATCCATGTACAAAGCAACCATATAAATATTAATTTTTGCCATTTGTTAACTAGGTTAAGTGTCTCTTGTACATATGAGACAGGTGGGGGACATATTCCAATGTTGGCATAATTTCATCGTTCTTAACACATGATAAGAGCTCTAGAGAACGTTCGTTAAGAAATCACAATTGTGATTTCTTACTGAACGTTCTCTCTCACAAATGTCTGTTATTTGTTCTTATGCAATGTGATCGATGAGACTAAATGCAGACAAGAAAGCGCAAAATGATTTTAGTGGGCTATTTTCAAAGTCGGTTCCCCGTAAGCACTGAAGTAAAAATGATTTAAGACAGTTAAAAGAAGGTAAATTTGGGATATTAATTTAAAAAACGACTCACGTCAGTAGATAACTGACTGAAGAGAATGCTGTTTGACGCGCTTTGAATGTTTTCATAACCCAAATTTCCTTTTTCACATTTCGGTCTCTTCGAGGGATTGGTAAGACATGCTGAACCATTTCCGACGTCACGGCGGGCCCAACCTTGGGGAAGTGGACTAAAAGCCGATTTTTGGATTGCATTATCCATTTTGTTTAAGAATTCGTGTATGTTATTCGGTTATGGATAGGAAGCAACCAGTAACGACTTGATGGTTCAAAACCCCGGTTTCACCTTAAGGTAACTGCACGTAGCAAGGGCACTCATAAATTCTAAGTTACTGAAGACAGGAAAGAAAATGTGAAAAATTGCCGATTATCTACTTCTAACCAAGCTGCTATTCATCCTCCTAAGGGGACGTCCTATCTGAGGTTAGGGCCAAGCCGTGATAAACAAGCGCAGGAAAGTGTCTTTAAAGTTCATACTACCCTTAAGGAGGGTACGTATATTTAAAAATGTGTATGTTTTATTCGGCGAAGCATTAACAATTCGCGTGACCACGACGCTAAAATATCTGGCTTGATGCATGAAAGAAAGGCGATAAGAATAAAAGGTGACGGTTAATTCATATATGAACGTCCAAGCTAAAAACTTTAGTCATCAATTTTACTATTTTCAATGATTGTAGACCGCAAATGCAAAACATTTAAATTAAAAATATTGAAATCTAAAAAGGGTGAAATTAAAGCGTTTTATTAGACACGTACAGAAAACCGCTGTTAATTCTTCGGCTTCCGCTCCGCATGCGCAACAACATAAATATCATTCAAAAGGGTTGCGCTTCCGTTAATTCATTAAAACCAGCGGGTCAACACGAATAGACCAAAGTAATCACGTTTTTAGGTATTTCTGTGGCCCCGTTCTTGCTGCAAAATTGGTTGGACAATTTTCGAAAGCCACATACTGACTAGGGGAATATGAAATCAGCAAGTCTGAATGCACACTGAGTGGCGTTTCAAAAAGTGTCGTGTGAGAATTAGCAACCTTATCATCGACGACTATTAAGCCGCATACTGAATAAATTGTTATAAAGGCCAGGAAGTAGAGCAGCAAATTCATTTTCTCTTTGTTTAACGTAACCGGACACTTGAGGAAACCTCTTCTTCGCAGACTTGCCCCGGTTTTTCTGTCAGGAAGATCTTCTTGCCACACAGGTTGCTCATTATCTTCCCTGTTAAGTATTATGTGTTTTGACGAACCCATAGTATTTTTTTTCGTCGGATAGTAAAAAGGCAAACTTCCGTTTTGCTTTCTCTGCACTGAGTACATAATAAGACTTCGCAATCATTATCCCTGATTTACACAATAATTGTGATATATTATTTTGTCGCGGACTGTTAATTTCTTAATGAAGGCCATCAAATTCAACAAATCAACGGATTTGTTGGTAAACCCCTGCGTTCAGTGGATGCGCTTGGCGGTCGACAATTTCATTTCTTAACTCCAATACGTGTGTCAGGGAATGACCGCGATGTAACACGTTGAATTCATCAGAGTTTCTTTGCTGTGGCATCTTACAGATGTACTTTTTGAGATTATTTAACACAGTCCTCGCCAATCCCTGTGTATGGCGGACGTTAATCTACTGAACATTGGGCAGTTTGTTTCTCTGTTCTTTCCCAATCATTCCGGTGTTTTGGAGGGAAATAAGGTCATTCCCTTAAACTCCCTATTTGCAACATTCAAATAACTAGAGGTGTTAAAATGTAAGGGATTTATAGTCAAAAGTGCAAAAATAGGTAGCTTCACACAAACGCATCTGCTCTTTAAGGTTACGCAGACATAAAATCCGTTTGTTGCTATAACATTTACATTTCGGCGCGATTCTTGCACTTCTCCACAGAGATATAGAGATGGCTTCGTGAGGATTACTCCAAGGTTCCACTATGCGGTTTTAATACAAATACTTCCATGCATCCAATCTTACTTTGGACACACGTAGTTTGAAAGGATGTCAACAAGGTGTAGTTGTAGCGGCTAGTTAGAAAACGTCCGCATACAGACTGGTGTAGCCCCTACCACGTCTGATTGGGAAAACTAGTTCCAGGACTGCGCGCAGCTTCCTATAGGTCAGAGAATATAGGTTTAGATAAGTCAGGTGATAGCATATGGCAGTGCTTCTGGAGCTCTGGCTAATTTGATGGCCGCCTCTGAATCCTTTCTGGTAGATAATAGTCCTGCTGCATACACGGAATCCAGACTTCTATCAAGTTCTTACAAACTTTCCCAAATCTTTTGAGAAATAGTCTTAGCGGAAAACTGTACTTGTCCGCTTGGTGGCATAATTCCCTGAAGTTGCGGTTTTAGCCGCTTGAAGAAGTTTGTAAAGGTTTTAGGGTGTTTTTCATCTAAAGGCTGCAGTCCTTCTTCATTTCTGCTTGTTGGAGAGACCTCTCGTCCAGATGGTAGGCGCACACAGTTTGGAACTCTATTCGATTTTACAGAGGCAGCATAGTACATTTGTTGGAGATAAAAAACGGGAGTCGTCTTTTCGAATGTATGTCATTAAGAGGCTGCATTCACAGCGGAGCGGATGGCTGGGTCGTCTACTTTAATCAAGCTAAAACATTGCATTACTTTCATTTTAGTTGCCCCCGCAGAACAATGAAGCTGAGATGGCAGGACGGTACTTGGGACACGGAAGCCCCAAAACGGATTGGATTCTTCGGCATCTAAGTCATGCTGAGGCAGTTGTAAGTACCGTAGAGGTGTTACCTAATCAGGACGGAAGAAGTCCACCTGCGAAAACAACTCCGCTATGAAGATATCGTTATGTTTGCTCGCCGACGAGGTCAAACCTGTCGCTACAAGGAAACCTTGATGAATTCTTCGAAGCGACTGCAGATGAACGTGGAATCTGTAAGAACGCCGCCCTGGAAAGATCGATTTGGAGAAGAGATGTAGGGACTGAGCGAGCCGTCTACAAAGCTACGAGAGAAGCTTGCAATTCTCAGGCGCCTCTGACTCGCAACCCCCTACCAACGTGCCCAAATATGTCGATGATTCATCAACACGCTCATCGTCCTCGCTGCACATCTCCGCATTTAATGCACCAACGACCCGTCGCCTCCCACTTGAAATCTCACGGCGTCTACGACGGTGTCTGCGAAGGCGTCCATTTTGGCGCCCACTCTCACCATCGCTGCTCCGGATCCACGTGCCCTGTCTCCGTCGACGATCGTCACCTACATGATCTCTGCCGGAACTTCCGCGGCGACGATCATCACAACCGTCTCTATCCTCTCTGCTATTGACCGAAAAGCTCCGGATGTCCCCCCAACTTTTATTATCACCATTACCACCTTCACCTTCAGCCATATTCCTGCTCGAAGAGGTAAATATCCTTCCTCATATATGGTGCAGCTTCAGACATTCGATATTCAAGTTGGGGTTTCACGAAGATGACGAAAACTCTTCCGAATAGTTTAGGTGAAAACATTTCAAATGAACATCTGATAAAGTGTAAAGTTTCAGTCATCTTTCGGATCGTTTTTACAGTGTTTTCACTGCATTAAATTCGTGGACGTCTACATGCCCAGATCTTTGTACATCTAAATATTCTATTTTAGTCCCGTTAGTGTAATACTGACGTTTCTAGGGAGCGTTTCGGTCGGCGTTAAAGTGTAGAACTTTGAATTCTGAAAGCCGTGTCTGATCAACTACGCAATTTATCAACGTCCACGTGCGAATTTTGGCGTCAGCATCAGAAATAACTTTGCTCCTTACTTTCATGTTATCTGCAAACATGAAGGCTTAAAAATCAGATAGCTGATGCAATTATTGACATAAATCAGAAAGGTCATTTGGCTTTAAACAGAACCATGTTGGACAACTCTGTCTGCTTCTGCCCGTTCTGACGGAGAATTATCATTAACGGCTCTCGGAACTACATAGTATACTAAACTACCGATCGGTTAACTATCTTTCCTCGAATCCGTATGTTCAAAAGCTTCCATAAAAGAGATCTCTTTGGCACGCTATCAAAGACTTTCTTGATTTCAAAAAAGACGACATATACTGGATATTCCCTATCTGTGGTCTTTGTCTATTCCTCAGGCGAGTGATTTACACTCCTGAGAAATAGCGCTCTTGATCAAAACCATGTTAGACCTTAGATAATATTCTGTACTCTTCCAGGTATACAATCCAATGACTTTTATTAAGTCCTTTTATTATACGCGAGCTGCGAGGAAAATTGACGGAACGGCAATTTTGGTAGCCAAGCCGTGAACTTCCTTTATGGATAGCGTTGACAAATGCATACATCTACTCTTTCAGAGGTCACCCTCAACAACGGAATTGAAATACGACGAGCAATGATTCACGCAGCTCACGAATGAGCTCTTTAAGTGCTTGTGTAAGAATTCGATTCGGAACAGCGGATTTGGCAGGCCTCAGTTGTAGTTCAGCCTAACTGCGGTAGACGAAAAATATTTCCTCAGTTGAAAAAAAGTAGGAGGGGGATGAGTTGGAGAAAACACTGCTTGGCGAACGGGAAGAAGAGCAGAACAAGAATCGGACTCTCGAGTCAAGACAGAGTGGAAGTAAATAGGAAGGAGGGCTACATTCACCTGGTCGTCGGTTTCCAGTGTTCCGATTGCGGACCTAAGGGGAGGGAAAAGGGGCTGAGTTCTATTAGTATTACGCATGTAACTATATAGGCTTTTGGGATATTCCAGCGAAGTTTGCAATATTTTTAACTCGAATTACCTTCGCAGCTTAATAGACTCATTTTAACAAGTGATCTTCGGAGTCAGTTAGTCTGTAACGCCTCCAACAACGATTTCTTTTTAAAAGGGGACTTCATATTTGCATCCTTTTATTCTAGACGGTCTTTCATTCCTAGCGGTCCTTCGAGAGTCCTGCTAGGGTCAACAATCCACCTGAGGTATGGACTGAAAGTCCTCCAATTATCATTTAGTTCACCATGCAGTTTAGTTTCCCATGACATCTCTGACTCTTCTCATCTTTTTAAGTGGATGCCTTCCCATCCAAGTGCTTCCCTCCAATTAATCTGTCAAACTTAGGTTATCAAACACTGAGTACTCGAATTGCTGCGTAATGTGGTTGTTTGACCCTATAAGTGGTCGACCTTGTAGGTCAAGCTCATATTCTTCCTACCGGGCAAGAGAAAGGTTAAGAAACCTTGCTGTCGTCCTTCCTTGCCCCAGGTCCCAAGGCTACATTTTTGGCGAAGAGGTTCGTCCATTGCCCGTTGTAGCAACTTGTGATTAGATTTATCTGACAGACCCTTTGCGGTTCACATTTGCCGGTTAGTACTAAAAGCGTTAGAATTCCCAAAGATAAGGATACCTTTCCTCTCACTGACTTTGAACAGTTCAGATATGACAATGAGATTATAGCCAGAAGTCCAGTTACAGTGCATGACCGATCTCATGAAATGTTGGCTGAAATTCTGAAATGTGTTTTCGATCAGGTGGGATTACTTGGGTGGGGTTGTACTATTAAATATCATGCGGCATAATCCTATAGTGTTTCGGACTCGTGAGTATGTTGGCTTTTTAATTCACTACTTTTCGTCCCCTGCAGAAACCACGATCGACAAAACTTGACTACGTAAGTAGCATGCGTTTTTCGTGTTTATTCTCGATAGTCTTATAAAATAAAGCATATTTTATAGAAAACATGCAAAACAGCATGCTTTATTTCACTCATTTGACAGGAAATCACATTTCCTTAATATTTTGTACCCGAAGAGAGAGTATATTTAGGTTATGAAGATGT